TTGACAGTAGTTGCTACTACTAACTGTAACTTAGTAAATGAGAAGACTAACATAGGATACTTCATGCTTTTTCTTTCAGAAGAAGAACACAATCTGCTGTTTTGAGGGCTGTAGACCCACATTTTTTTTGCCAACAGAAAAAGTTCTCCAAGGAACAAATAACCCATTCTGTCCTGGTGGTCACTGCGTGTCTCTTCTAGAATGATAACCAGGTGAGCTTGAGGACTCGGGGAGTGTAATCTGTTAATGAGTGTGTGTTAGAACTTGATCCCTGCCTAGATTGAGTTCTAGACCTCCTGAGGATGGGAGTCTGTCCCAGCTCTGATCACTGATTCTTGACTCAGTCACTTATGCTGTAACTAGCCGTGCTTTTAGCAGGGGTGGTTCTGGTCTGTTTTCTAGCATCTCAGCCAAGATTGTGACCACTATAATGATACTTAAGGAACATTAATTGTTCATTTGTCACTGGCTAGTGTCTAAAAACATCCCTGGATCACAAATGAGGAATTCATTCACAGGACATTTTGAAGGCAGACATGAGTAAGCTCTTAGCTGGAAACTGTGCAGTCACAGTTAGTGCAACATCCGGATAGTACTGCACTAACCAGCTTGCAATTTGTAGCACTGTCATTGTGGAAGGGAGAAAAAAATTGTAAAAAGGAGAGGCCACATCTGTCAGCTTGCAAATGTCTTGTAAACATGAACTCACGTGAAAGATGCTGTTTTCAAACATAGATGTAGGAAGGTACATCCACCTTTAAGCCATTAAATCATAGAGATATTAAGGCCAGAATTATTGATTATCAATGAGATCCAAATATTGCTGTCATAAAAGTCATCCTGGATCAGTCTCAGGTAACTGACTGCAAAGCAGTTGATTCCTAGAGCAGGGAATGGATCTGGAGCCCCCTGACTATGGCTTTTCTGGATTCTGAAGTTTGAGAGTCCTTATGCAGACTTTGGATAATGAACATCTTTTGGGGAAAAAAGGGTCATTGATAAGCTTCCAGTTTTAGCAGTCTCATTTCCTTTAGTTACCTCAGTTGCTAATTTCCAAGGCAGCCTTTGCAAGGAAACTGGCTAATGGTACACTGCTTCTCAGCTAAGAGATCTTCTCTTTTCTAGGCCACCCATGTTAGAAGAGGCCCCTGGACTCTAGAATGGTTCTAGAATGGGGAGCTTGTAAAGATAGCATTTTGTTCTCCTCCGGTTCAAAGCCCATTCATATGCATTCATATTTATATAGTTGCTGCAAAGTACTCAAGACATCCCTGTGGACTTAGCAAACTAGTTATAGTTGCAACTATTATGTACCTAGAAATAGCTCAAGCACAGCTTAAAACACAGCTTCCCCAAAGATGTGTGTGCAGGAGGGTGGATGGGGACAGTGCAAGCCAAAGATAGCTCAGCTAACGCTAACGCTTCCTGAATATTGCCATGGGATTTTTAAATGCTTCTCAACTCCCAGAGGGATGCTGAAAGATTTGACCTCAGTTTAGCATCTCATCCAAAAAAGCAGTAAGTAGTTCTGACAGTGCAGGTCTCCCTAAGAGCTGTGTGGAAACTTCAGACTTGGACATGAGCCCAGCCTTAGTGTTGCACTGAAACTCAAGACTTTCGGGGCCTAGAATGATTTCAGATGAGCCATACTCTGACAGATAGGGACTGCAGGAATCGGAGTTACTGACAAGGAAATTATTCATAAAATTACTGGTGGGGAAAATGGAAGGAGGAACAATTTCAATTATTTGCTGCTCCCAAGATCTGCGAGACCTGTTCAGGGAACAAAGGAAGGCTTCATTTCTTAATCTGGTCACTCTGACACTTCCCAAGAGCTTTAAATTGGAAGGAAAAGGATAAGAGACTTGCTCTATGAATAGCTCGTATATCAGTGTGGGACAATGCAATCAGCTTTCGGTAGTTTGACATTATTCATCACATCTGCCTGAAGGCCTCAATCAACACACCAGCCTTGTGGTGCTGCGCCAACAAGTGCAAACACAGCGCCTGCCCTCAAGCTATGGCAGCCCGGGATTACAGCGGGATGACAAGGGGGGGACTCAGCGAGAGGTGTGAGGCAGCGAGATATTGGTATAACGAGCACATTTGCATAGCATCAGCAGTCACAGCCAGCTTCCTCCCCAGGCTCTGCCAGGCAGCAGTGCTTTGTAGGATTCGTGGCAGAGGTAAAGCTTAAGAGAGGATTTGATGGAAGACAAGATGGTACCTTGTGGGGTGATTTTTACCATGATTTAGAGGGCAGGCTGTGAGAAAGCATAAAAGTGTCTGCAGGAGAAGTGACAGAATCTGTTATCTTCGGTGAGGGAAGAAAGTTTTCTGCTGTGACAGAGGATTAGATTTAAGAGCCAAGGAGAGACCAAGCAGTGAAGAGGCTTAGAGGTAAAGGCTTGAGCTTTTCTCCCAATCCCACAGAAATATTTATAGTATCAAAACATGTGCTATCAAGATGAAAAATTGAAATCTCAGAAACAGTGCTTTGATGCTTTTTAGCTGGTGGGGATCTCAAAAAAAAAAAAAATCCATTGTGTTCGACTTAATTATAAAAAGAAACTATAAATTCTCTCTGCTTACCTATGAATGATCCCCCAGGGCAGCTGGGGAGTCAGGACGTTCCAGCTTTCACTTAAATGTCACTTTTCATGCTCAGCCCAAGGTGCTGCGTGACCACCACTGCAACTTTGGGCACACCAGTGAAATTGCCACTGAGGGCTGTTGTGCAGGTGCTGTATAGTCCCAGTTCTGGTCTGTACTTCTAGTTTTGGGGTGCCCTTGGGCTAGCATCTGTAGCACCCATGCTTTGTGCATGAGCGAAATAAGGAAAGATTTTATTGGGGTTGTAATGTCCTGGTGCGGATGTGCCCCAATACCCTTAACATAAGAGCTGCTCCCGCTCTGCAGTTCCATGAACTGAGCATGAAATATATTTTTACTCTGTTAAGCTTAGGTTTTAAAAGGAAATAACTTTGAAGCAGAAAGCCAGAAATTATCAATTTGAAAATTGTCAAAATAATTTTTTTCAAAATATTTTTCAAGTAGAAATATCCTAATATGGGGTCTCTACCTTCTCTGTGGAAAAACTCCTCCTGGGTGAACTGATATTTTCCAGTTGAGAAAATATTAGCTTCAGTGAAGAGAAAAGCTGGTGCTTAACACAGTACAGAATGGGGAGAAGTGAATAAAGAAGAAATGTGGTTAAAATGCTAAAAAGGAAGTTGTTCCTTGCAGGACAAGTAGATTTAGGACAAGGCTAAAGAAGGGACGTCACAGTAGCTGGTATGAGATGCTTAGAGCAAGGAATTTGGCAGCTGAGAACGGCAGAAACAGATTTTAAAAATTGTATTTAATGGGGTCAGAAGCCCATTGCGTGGGTCTAGAAGAATGAATCAGTGATTAACACCCAAGCTACCGGGGCTGGCTGCTTGGCGATACTGTTGTGACAGAGAAAGGACAGGATCCGGGAGAACAGGGTAAGATTTACTGGGAATGATCAAGAGCAGAGATTAAGAAAAGACATATATATATATGTGTGTGTGTGTGTGTGTATAGATGTGAATATCTATGTTATTTATCAGGAAGAGAGGCCAAGGAGTGAGATTAGATGGCTGAAAATGATCATGAATAAAGTTCTGCATTTGTAATTTGTGTATAGGCAGATACTTAATCAGACCAAATCCTGCATGGTTATCTCTGCAAGAACAATGCTAAATCTTGTATGCCCAAAAGAAGTCTCTAAAAATTATTTTCCCCTTCTTTCTGTTTTTGTGATGTATAAGGATGGCAGTACTATAATTAATCACCTCTTGACTCTGCTTGTGGATGCTGTAACTTCATATAGCATCATAGTTACACACTGAACAACCTGAGATTTTAACATCTTACTTAAAAAGTTGAATTAATGGCAGCAAACCATTCCCTTAGGGCTCTACAGGAGAGACAGGTTATAGAGCATGTTGAAAAGAAAAGCGTTAGCCAGCAATTTGGTCATAATTCTGAGAAGGAGTTTCTGCTCATGAAAAAAAAAAGGTTGTGTGCCTGACCTTCCTGGACACTGGGTGCCCCCAACTTTCACCATGAAAGCGTTTAAGATTGAGTCCCCATTGAACCAGCTAAAGCAAACACAGAGCACGGTGCTTGAAGTCCCTTTGAAGTTCTGTGCATGCTTCTCAGTGCTGCGCCTCCCTTCAGCTGTGCTCATTCTCTCTGGAACAAGAACTGCTAGTGTCTAATTTGTGATGGGGCATGTGGTTTGGGGGGGAGATGTGACCCCTGAACTTAGCTTTGCTTTGACAAAAACACTTCTTTCATCTGCACTCCATTATTGTATTGCATTCAGCACAAGCGCCATCAGTGTTGTTCTGGAGTATAGCTTGTGGGGCATTGAAAGGGGAACAGAGGTGTAGGCTGGAAAAGGGGAGTGAACTTACTCTGAGTTGGGACTCAAGTTCCTGGCAGCCCTGAGACTGGGATCACAGAAACACCCAGGAAAGCAGGCATGGGTGGTTATGACCCCTGTAACTCAGAACCATTCAAATGGCAGATTGTGCACTGAACAATTCCTGGCCTTCCCCAAAGTCTCACCTGTGACGTGTCCTGCAGTTTCTCAGCGCGATCCCATGGTTCTTCCTGGTTTCCCATAAAGCAGGTGTAATTTGTCATGGTTATTTTCAGGCACTAGGGAAGCAAGTTGCTTGAATCAGGCACCACATCCAGCTGAGCAGACTTCGGGAAAACCAGACTTCAAGAGAGATGAATCAAATGGCCCGGCTTTAAAAACCTTACTCGGAGCAGGTAAGTCACTGCTGGAACTCACATGTCAAAGCAGAAACATCCTTCCCCAGACCTGGGAGACATTGCCTGTTCCTCTTTAAATCTGTGCTGTGTGCTGCAGTGCTCTGCATTGTTGCCATGGCAGAAATCTCCCCATAGTAATAACCTCTTTCAGAGAAGGTTAAAAAGAGGCAGTGCACATGCTCAGAAATGCTGCACTTGTTCTGTTAGCAGTTTGCAGCGGCCATTTCAAAGAGACCGTCACAAAGACAAGAGAGAGATCAGGTACTGATATTTTTTTCCTTTGTTAGAGGGGATTACTTTTCTCTTTCACAGAAGTCCATGCACAGATCTGCCTCCGTTCCCAGTTGCACTGCAGAGGGAGACCACCCTTGAAGCCTGTTGTGATTATTCCTCACAGATAGCAAATTCCCACAGAATAACTAAGAGGCAGTAGTTAGATGTGGCCTGAGGTGACTGCTGCAGTCAGGGAGCAATTATTTTGCAGCGGGGCTCACATATGAAGCTGAGCTGATGTTGGGGTGGGTGATGTGTAAGGTACCCTGAAGAAGTTTAACAGCATATCTGCTTTGTTTTGTTGAACCTTTCTAGCACTCATAGTCAACCATGAGAATAACCTTTGCTCCTACTGACCAGGAGGCTTCTGCATTAGGTGCTTTCAAAGGAGGCTGGTATTATCCTAATTTACTGTTACTTGGAGACACTGCTGCATCCTGTTGCAAAGCCTGGTGTCTTTGATTGTACTTGCTTTGATTGCAGATCACCATTAATTAAAACAGAAAACCCAAGCCGCTTGTTACGATTTTAATCCTTTTATTTTAAGGATTGTAGAAATAGAAAGAATCACATCAGATCACTTCTAAATAGTGGGAGGGATAGGAAGCCCAGTTCTGAGGTTATAGGAATTACATTACCAGATCTATTTTTTGGTGTGGGCCCAAATATATCTGTGACTCTACGTGTACGTGTGTGTCTCTTGCTTCTGAACCATTCCCTACTCTTATGTTTAGGTTGAGGTGCACAAGAAGGGGATGTGTATAATGCTGCTCCTTTCCTGGATCAATTGCTGGTTTGCACATGCTGCAAGTGTTCGTGCAGAATTTGCAGCTTCAGATTAGCTGTGTCTGAAACGGTGGATTGCATATATCAAAGAGCAAGCTTGTTCCATTCTGTGTTTGTGGCAAGATGGGGAAAAACCTTTCCTTTCCTGCCTCCCTCTATTGCCCTTCCAAATGTGAAATACAAGCTGGTTTGGGGAGTGCTGTACTCTTGCATTCAGCACGTGCAGATTTGATTTTCTTATGCAACATCTTTTGCTTAGTATGCACCGTCTTAAAAATCAGGAAGAGACAGAATGCTGTCCTGCTTTCCTGGGTTCAGCTAAAGAGAATTTTTATGTGGATTTTATTGTGTTGCTACAACTTAACTTTATTTGATTCTTTCTTTCTTCCATTTGAACATACAGGAACAGAACGTAAACTTGGCTGAACTAAGGACCACCCTAGCAGTTTGCCAGGATCCTTTAGGCTTGGATTGAAGTCTGTAATAGACAGTTGCAGCTTGAGCCAGTCCAAGTTTCCCATGTTCCCTCTTGATCCAAACAGCCTACCTGTTGGATCAAGAAAATGCTTCATTTGAAACCCGTGTACTTATCAAAAATTTTACCTTTGTGTGAAGGGGAGGTGTTGCTGGACCAGACTGTACCTATCTTCAGGGCATGGTGTGGCCTGGCTGTGATGTTCAGGAACAAATGGATGGCTGCAAATAAAGGTCTGAAGCCCAGATTAGGAGGGGAAACAGAAGGTCAAAGAGTTTTGATGCATTTACCGTTAGAAATTCTACCTATGAATTTGTGGAGGTTTAACAAAAGTCTTTCCCTTCAGCTACTTTCATAAAGGAGTAAGTTTTTATGATCAGTGTGGCACATAGTTAATGATAACAGTTAGCTTTAGTTATTACACTTGTGAAAAGATGGTGCATCACTAAAGCGAGTGGGTAAAATTTTCATTTCCAGGTTCAGGCCTGTTTCAGCCAGCTCTATAATCCCTGCAGATCTCGAAGTCTAACAGTGAACCAGCTGTCCAGATTCATGTGCCGGTCTGGGACTGTGTAGTTAGAAAAAAGATTGGAGTCACAGAGCAGGCAAAGTTGCTGGCATCCTGGTTTGCAAATGAAACCAAAAACTGTCTAGGGACTTCTGATCTTCTCTTTCATGTCTAGGGACATTCTCTCCCAGTTGGGTTTAATGTGCACTGCTGGAAAAGTACAGAGAACTACTGTCCATGCTCTAGATCTTCTGATATTTTTTTTTTTCGCTTTAGCTGTTAGGAACATTAAGTTCTTTGTAACAAAACCTTGTACCTGTAATGTTCCTCACTGACTTGTTTGTGTCTCTTGATAAACAGAGAAGCAATTCCCAAGATGCTGGCACCCTGCCTTCTGAGAAGAGTGGTCCTTACAGTTCCTTTAGTTTTTGTGGTTGCACTGCTTCTCACAAAGCCTGTTAGATCTGATCAAGAAGCGGGAACAGCCGTACCAGCTGAAAGTACGTACCACCCTACAGTCGCCTCATACAGCTTGTACTGTAGTTTTAATGTTGCAGGACTTGATATCACTGAAGCTTGTCCAAATAATTCAAACTAGTTTGCACCTCTTGCTTATGATGTTTTAAAATCACAACTTGATAGCATACCAGTGCTGTTTTTCTCCTGCATCCAAGGCTCTCCACTCTTGTACCCTTATCTCCTGCCTGTTGTTCTCTTGCTTGTACCTGAAATGTGCCACTGTTCTGTACTTTTTGTTTTGTACAGCCCTTTCATTGTGTTAGCTCTTTCTATGCCAGGAGTTACCCCATTTGCTTTTCAGAGACATTCTTGAGCCTTGCTTTTTTCAACTGACATTCATTACATCTTTCATTCTTGGTAATGTCTACTATATTAAAGTCAGTAGTTTCTATTAACAAAATTCACAACAAAGATGCCAAGAAAGCACACTTTATCAACACTTAGTCTTGCAGCCTTCAACCATCTAATTCTCCTTTGCTGATCTGTGTTGAGTTTAATGTACATCATAAACATAATGGCAGGTCCTTGCATCAAGTGGTTGATGTGGAAAATGCTGTCCTCTCCTTATGTCTGTTGCATATATAATAACACTAAGGTTCGGTGGTTGTACAACAATGAAAGGAGGTCTGTAATACTGTTCAATGTTTATTTTTATCTCTTTTTTTTTTTCTCTAGCCAGTTAAAGAATTTGGCAGACTCCTTTTCTCCAGCAGGCAGGATTCCTGTCTGCTGGTTAGCACACAGATCATGAGTTGGAAGCTCATACTCCAGCTTATCAGAGGCATGTAGTAATCAGTCAAATATCAAGTGTTTGCAAAATAGGCTGACAGACACTGCAGGATTTTCCAACATCACTCTAGGTTTCGTCCTCTCTTCCTTACCAGACCTCAAAGAGCAAACTAAACCTGCGCTCAGAATTTCTCACTTGCGCAATATTTCCTATGAAGTTGTCAGAGAGGCACAGGCACTGAGAAGCAAATAAGAGCATATGTAGAGCCTGATGATTCGAAGACGTTTCCTCATGTCTATATTTGTTCTGTCTCAGTACTGCTATCTGTTAGGGCACAGCTTTGTGTTATATGATGATCAAGGCAAAGCAAGCCTTGTGACCTTCAGTCTGGATATCTAGATATGGGAATACTATCTTAAACACTGCAATTAGTCCAGAATGCAGCAATTCTGCTTATCAGCAATGCCCACTAATGACAGGGCATTGTGTTTATCTGCTGCTTGCTTCACCAGCTTTGGACAAAGCTGTATCAAATTCAAAGTTAGAGGCTAAGTGATCTGTCTTTGTGATAATGTAGTCAATTTTATTCTATTAGCTTTCTATTTAGAGCTCAAGTTTGTGAGATTAGGAGACAAGATTTTCCAGGGAACAGGTTCATGGTTTCAGAGGTAATTTCTGAAAAATCTGAAGATGAGGTTGAAAATGTGCTCAGCGTTGGTGGAGCAAAATGAAAGACTCAAGTTATGGGTTTAGTGTTTCCACACTATGAACTGTGACAAGAGAAGGATGAGGGGAACAGCAATAAAGGAGGAAGAAAATTTTTAATGCAAATTTGTTGAAGTAATTCTTTTGTCATTGAGAGACTGGGTGGACCATCATGATGGACCATTTACAATAACCTGGATTGTTGAAGAGTACATACATCAGTACTCACTCTGTGGACTCTTTTCTGTAGCTCTTCCTCATACTCAAAATCACTGTTTATTCCTCCTACTTAATACTTCATGCCATATAGTCATGATTCTCTACTAAATGCTCTACTAAATGCTCTCCTAGGTCGTCCCTGTGTTGATTGCCACGCGTTTGAGTTCATGCAGAGGGCTCTGCAGGATTTAAAGAAGACAGCATATAATCTAGACACGAGGGTAAGGAAACATTCGATTTCTTTTTTTAATATGGAAGAAAATGCTGTGGATAAAAATAGATAAGGTGGATGGATTTTGCACAAGACCGTCAACTGTACTGTCCTATCTTCTAAGGTGAGACTGGGTAATTACATTTCACCTCTCTATGCAATAATCTGTGGAATTCTTCTGCCTTGGGGTATCAGGGACACTAGGAAGCTTAGGAAAGAGTCAACTGAAAGTCCTCAGCCCTCTATCCTTCTCTTGCTGAGTTACAGCCATTAGCGCTGCTATTCTGCTGAGCGCACACCTTTGTTTTTATGTTTGGGGGAGTAAGGTGAGAGCATTATTTATATTTATTACCCAAAAGGAGAGAGCCAGCTCAAACAAAAAGCCTACTAAAATAAAATACTCCCCTGCACATGCTTTTACCCCTGGGGAGAGGCTAAGGGAGGAAACATAATCTCGTAGATACTTTTTATATTGCTCTGATTCCATAATGATGAAAAATGCCACAAAGTAGAACAGCACGGGGAACGAAACTTGTTTGGCTTGCAGTCATTGTGGAGAATTTGCCAAGGTTGGTATCTTCCTTCTGTGAGGGAAGTTGAATCTGTCTCTTGCTACTGCAACCTGCAATCTGTGACTAGCTGTATCCCAGCTGCTGTCGGATAGCGGTGTCTCAAGAGGGTAGCTTTTTCCCCACCTCCTGTGTACCCTGTAGCTGAAGTGCTATATCTACACTCTTGCACAGATTTTTCAACAGAAGGTGCTCAAACTTTTTTGCTGTTCTAATCTATGGTCAAGGTTGTTCACAGTTCAAAGCCTGCGAACTGGCATCTTTGAACAATGGTTTGAGGTAAGTCCAAGCAGGGTCCATGATGTTTGGGTGAAAATGCAGGTGCAGGAATGAAGATGCCTTTAATTGTGACATACTGCAAAAACCAAACAAACATTCCAGCACAACCAGATTGGTATGTAGCACATTTACAGTTAAACAAAATCTGTTCAATAATTATGGGTCAAATGTATTTTGGGCTCCTTCATGAAGAAATCTTGTTAACGAATACATCTGCTGAGCACTGTATACAGCCCAAACAAGATGTTCAGATTGTGCTGTAAAGTAGTTCTAGCACACCTTTTCCTTCTTTTATAAACCTTCGAACTTTTCACCAGCATTTCTAAATCTTGATTAAAAAATATCTCAACTACTAAAATCTTCTCTGGTTGTCTGGCTATGGCAGTGACCTTTATGACACCTACAGCTTGCAGACCAAGAGAGAAGGTTTATAAAATACAGATATCCAAAGCAGGAGTAGCAGTAAGACCCCCAGAGATAGCAACTGTATTTTAATACTTTTTAAAAAATAAAAATAAAGGACAGCCAAGGAGAGGAAATGAGGGTACAAAAAAGGTTCGGTTGAGAGGATTGTCCTATTATTGACTTTCACAGTTGTAGATTTGACAGCAAGCCTGAAAATGTGGCTCCATGATATGTTCTCACCAAAACAAACCTATCGCTTCCTTATCACTTTAAAATCTAAATAATTTAATCCATATTGAGATCCTTCAGTGCTTCTGGACTAGGACAGGCCTATTCCAGTCATTAAGCTAGGAATTCTGCCTAGATCTTCAAAAGGCATGGAAATATTTAATAGTTGAGGGCTTCTTGGAACTGCCTTCTGCAGTGTTTCAATTCTTAGTTTTATTATTCATCTGTGGCCTAATTTGATGCAAACTGGGAGTTTTAAGACACTTGCTTTCAGCCACTTATATATTTTACATTTGACTATTTTAGTCTGTTTTGCTGCTTAGTGGGGCAAATGTTTCTGTCCCCGAAAATACAATTCCCTTTGTTAATATTCCCACTGGAGACACTAATTTCCTTGAAAAACTCTCTTTTGTTTGCAGGCAAGATTTTTAGATGATGACTAAGCAGCTCCTAACTGTGTTGAAGGGGGAGGGATTCCCAAAAGCTTAGAGAGGAAATTCCCATTTAATTCCTCCTGCAAATCTCACCCTGCAGTTCTGTACAGGGGAAACCATATAGTTTTATTGCACAACTCAAGAGTTTTCACACTTAATTTGGCCCTGTGTTGATCTGCGTGATGTCTCATGAAGCAAACTGGCTCTAGCATAGGTCACATCATAACCTTTTATGGGGGCCATAGGCTATATCTCCTTCCTTTCTCAAGACTAGACATGCTTGTAACCTACACTGATGTGATGATCACTTACTGATTGACAGGCTGGCTGCATTTTACTCATGTGGTAAGAGAAGGGTCACAGACCACCTCTGAGAGGCTGGCTACTATCCATGCACATACCAGATCTGTCTGCCCCCCTGCATACTGTTTTCCACCCTTCCGTTGCTGCTGGCCCCTTGGAGCAGGCTGCACGTTGGATTAGTTGTTTTAACAGCAGTAACCGACTCTGGGCAATCTTTTCTGGGGATATCTGTGATTCACCACTCAGCCAAAGTGCAGTATGTGGCAGGTGCAGCTCTGATCATGAACTAGGGAGAGGGTTCTTGTACTGCTGGGAGGGAGCTGCTACCATCAAAACCATTCAGCCAGTTCACAGCCAGCTCCCTACTGCATCTAAAAGCTGCTCAAGACAGAGGCCAGCAGGGAGCAGGCCATAAAACAAATCCTGTAAAACAAATCCAGCCCATGGGCTACACAGTTCACTGTAAGTCTGCACTATAGACACTTATTTTCAAAATTCCAACACATTTTTCAGAGTTGACCAGTGGACATTGCATTACAACCTTAAAGAGCTCAGGGACTGCATTTTTAGCTGGAACTTATCAGCTTTTTTGTAGGTTCAGAATCTGGACCCTGCCCTGTTTGGTTTTTTTTGGTTTTTTTGATTTTTTTAAAACGTGCTTTAACCCACCAGGGGATAATAACAAATCTCTGTGCAAATGGTTTTGTGATCATGCTCACAAAACAGCAAAGCTGTATTTAGTGCCATTCATTTTGTTCTTTATTCCTTTCTAAACTGTCAATGGTTATTTGGAATGTTCAAAGCACATTAATTCAGATGTGCCCATGAAAGTAAAAACAAAGGCTTGGAAATGTTATTAAAGATATATAAGATGGTAAGCAGCCTTGGGGCTTAGCTCCAAAGCTGTTGGCATGCTGTCAGCCTCCCTTATTCAAACTATTGCAAATGATGTCAAGGAGATGGTTAGAAGGTGGTGATTTGAGTGTCTTTTAGGTGATTAGCAAAGTCTGATCAGATCTTTCCAGTTCTACAGGGCAGCTGAAACAATCAAAAGCGATACCTGATTTAGTACAAAACCACAAGGCTGTGTCTAGTGATTTATCATCTGGGAAAAAAACCCGAGAAAAAAAGATAGCTTTTCCTGTACTAAGAAGGCAGGTGGCAAGCAGGGTGCTTCAGCCCAGCTCTGCTCTAAGTGCCTTTAGCTGGTGTGGGTCAATGGATAACACAGCTTTTAAAACACAGCCTTTAATCACGTGGCAATTCCATATCATACAAAAATCACAAGGCAGGCAGATTAAGGATGGATTTCACTGGCATTTAGAGCTGGTAGTGTTCATAATGCCCTTTTTTTGTGTAGCTGGTTACACCAGTGGGGATTAATTTGGTGAGTGGAGTTCCCACAGCTAGTGTGTCCCATGACAATAAGGAGGAAGTCCTCTCTTGGATCAGACTGATTCTCAGATACAGCTTCAGCTCATGATAGACAAACTGAAATGAAGATATGATGTTGATGTCAAACAGCTCTGTGCTCCGTCATGCATCTACTGAAGCCACAAGTGCTCCAAACAGCCAGGAAAACCAAACTGTGTGTGTGCTAGAGAGGAAGGATTCCCAAATTTCCCCCATGCAGCCCTGCTGTCCCTTCCCTGGTCCTCAGTCCCTTCTCGCACAGGTAGGCTGAGAGGGTGCAGGCCTTTCTGATCATACCCAGCTCCAGCTCTGAGAAGTTCCCAATCCGCCCTCATTGCTCCAGAAAATCCCTGTGGGCAGCAATGATCACCTGATATTGATGAACCCCAGTTCAACTGGGGGACCTCTGCTTTCACCAGTTTGGGACCCCTTTCCTTAAAGAAGCCAGCAATCTCATCACATGTTTCAACTGTGACGGCTGTATGCCAGCTCAGCACCTGTTGTCTGTTTTAGGCTCCAACAGCGTATTAACAATAACAACAGTGAAGCAGGAGAAGTTAAAACAGAAGTAAATTTCTTCACTGAGAGGGTGGTTGGTCACTGGAACAGGCTCCCCAGGAAGTGGTCACGGCACCAAGCCTGTCAGAGTTCAAGAAGCATCTGGACAACACTCGTAGTCATATGGTTTAGTTTTAGGTAGTCCTGTGAGGAGCCGGGAGTTGGACTTGATGATCCTTATGGGTCCCTTCCAACTTGAGATATTCTATGATTCTATGATTAAATTATGCCTTACTTTCTCTGTATAACTTTCAACAGTGAGTCCAGGCTGTAATACTCTAATTTTTTCAATCTGTTTTTAAGTAAAAAGAAAACTTCTGACAGGTTTTTGGGGTTTTTTAAGCCTCTCATGAACTTGAGAGCTTATGTTCCAGTTTGTGCAGTTGAAGTAAGATTGTAAGAAAGACTAATAATGTTAAACAAAAATAACAGCACCCAGACACATACTGAATGTACTAATGTGAAAAACATGAATGTGTGCCAGACTGAATTTTTCCATGTCACAGGAAGTATTGCCATGTTGATATGCCAATTAATCACGCAAAAGCTAAATTATTTAGCAGAGCAGTAAGAAATAACTCTGATTTTTACCTCAAGCCTCATCTCATACAACAAATTCCAAATCTTAAAACAAAAGTAAAATGGACCTTTCTTTGGGAGCTAATTAGTTTTACAGTGCTGACACTTGTTTTTTGATGTTTGCTTTCCCTCTTATAGACAGAAACTCTGCTTCTTCAGGTGGAAAAGAGAAATCTGTGCGACTGTGTAACTGCAAATCTGCTGAACTGAATCCTGGAGGCCAGCTAAGGAGTATCACCTGTTCAGTGGTTTTTAAAATGCAGCTGTATAAAATACAGCTGGAGTTCATGTTGCAAGCATGCATGCCCCAATATGCCGAGGAAACTGGGGGGCTGTGTCTTATGTATTTGTCTGTTCTGTTTTTTTTTAAAAGAGTACCCTCTTTTCACATCCACTGGTTGCCAGTAAGGGCTCAATTCAGTAAAACTGTTACTTGGTATTAGAGTGGGGGAGAAACGTACCTGCTTTGTTTTTTAAATCAGAGTTGGCCAAGTGTAACCCACAAGATAAATATGGCCAGCAGTGCTCTAGAGACACTTGCAGCTGTTTTTTGTCTCTAATATGAACATATCTCTGTCGCACCTTACCCAGTTATATTGAGACAGGGAATTGTGGTCTCTGTAGGCTTTGCCTGTGTATTAAAGATGATGGAAGTCTTTTCTGTTTGTTGTCTGCACTGTGACCACATTCATGCATGTTGTAGTTCTGTCAGCTGTTACGAGGTATGTGTCGTGAGGAGGTATATGTGTGCTGTACTTGGACCAAAACGGTTTATATCTTAGGGCTGAGTTTTCTGGTATCCTGCATAAGAGTATTGGCTTAATTAAAACCTTTAGTTTCTTCCTCTCCTTCCCTGGACAGTCCATTCTTAACCCACTATATCTCTAAATAGCTTTATCTTAGCAGGTCAAATGGGTAGAGTAGAAAGGAGCATAAGGGTATGACTAGGCAGCCTTGCCAGTTCCGAGTGTACCAAATGCTACCACCAGCAACCGCTCAACATCACATTGAAGAAAGCTCCGAACAGTGCCAAGAAGTTTCTTCATGAGACTGCTCCTTATTTTACTTTAGGTGAAACACAGTGGTTAGGTCACGCATATTTGGTCCATTCTGTGATGGACTGAACTCTGAACATTTTGGTCTTTGTAGTTGCCTTTGAAAGCTGCTTTTTTTGTTTCAGGCATGAAGAAAGACTTGTGTACCTGAAAGCTGAGATGATTTTTATCCTCAACTCTACCACTTTATTCTAAGATACGTGTCCACTCACAAGTCTGAATTAGGCTGAGCGGTTTGAGTAGATGCTCTGAGTTTGTTTGACGTGATTTAGGGCCGTCTTGAACCACTCCAACAGTGGGGCTGTGGGGTGCTAACCTGGCTTGGGGAGTGGATGGGAGGTGGACATCTGAAGACCAAAATCTCTTCAGCTGAATTTGGAAGAAAGTGCCTGCCTGCGGCCTTACTTCTCTGACTAAACTGGTGGGACTTTGCTGGAAGTGGATGAGAGAGGAAACACAACTACTGCTCTGCCAGTGCAGCTGTAGGTATGGTAACGAGCAGCTGGGGGAGTAGGGGAACACAATAGACAGCCTCAGTGGCTTGCCAAGCTTGTCCAGGGCTTGGAAAACCAATTCCTGCACACTGAGAAGTGCAGCATGCCCTTCTGCATGGGTCCAGAACATAGGCCAGCACAAAAGCTCAGTATGAACTGGAGAGAGGATTCTAATGTTATTTTTCCAAATTCCCTCAAGGAGCACCTGTGGTGTGTGTTCTCCACTAAGCCTGTTCACACAGCATGGGAGCACTGGCACTGCTCATATCTGGCTGCTGGGCAAAATAAGAGTAACTGCAAGCCTCACCAGCAGCTCCACTCCCGGAGAGTGGGAAGGGGCAGCAGTCCTTACTCATGCATGGCAGAGTATTTTCTGGACTTCTTGGAGCAAAGCCTCCTTTAGAGGGTTTCAGCTGATCCTGGCTGTAGCAGAATGGCTTCACAGAGCTTCTTGGCTTTTGCTGTACTTGTGTCGTCCCCATCTTGTGCTAGCTTGACTTTGTTCCTCTGCTTTGCTCTGGACCTGCCTTGGCTCTCCTCTCCAGTGCAACCTCCTTTCCCCCTTCCAGTCTGGCACTGCTCCCTCTCTAGGCCCAGGGATTTCTTGGTGAACCCCTGGCCCCCCGTCCTGATGGCTCTGTGTGTGGTCACTGCAAGTGTGGGCAGTGGGGCTGATACTCCTCAGGTCAGCAGTCCCTTTAGATCCAACTGGCAGCACTGCAGGAGCAATGAGTGGCACTCCAATTTACCATGAAGTGAGTGAACACGGTGCCAAGCAACACTGATATCTCATTCCCTGTCCAGTGAAGACATTGTGGGGAAGGGCCTCTTTTTACCTGGGAAGCCAATATTCCCGTTGCAGAACCTGGAGAAAGTCCCAGAACAGTTTGGTGGTGAAAACTCTGCTCCCAAAGCTGAGTTAATCCATGGACTGTCCAGCAGGATGCTGTAAGCTCACCAGCTTGTTATAGATGTGGACAGGAGCCCAGCCATGGTCAGGTGCTGGTTTTGCCTGGCGTTGAGTAATAGATGTTCTGGCACAACTGGAAACACCTGTAGATCTTGATGAATTTTTCCCTTGGTGTCTGCTTGAACAAAAGAAAATCTGACCATGTGGAAATACTTTCCTTCAGTCATTTTGCCCCACCTCTACCTTCTGATTCACATCACCATAACTGGGGTAGTGAGATACAGGACATAATAGCTGTTGCTATTGAGAAAGCAGCCAGGAGGGGAGTAGATGGGGAAAGGGGAATAACTTTCTCATTCTCTTCCTCAGAATCTGAAAAATTAAAGATTCCTTTCAGTCTGCAGAAGATCCATTAGAACCAGGAATTTCTTAGTGGAAATTGCTGTATGATGCTTTAAAGCCCACCTCACCTATTTTCCTTTAGTTGAATGACTGTTCTGTATTACCTCTTTTTCAAAACCACCAAAATAGCAGGAGAGCAGAAGACAGCTAATATGCCACCAGTTCTAAGGAAGGATTAGCAGGGAGGTCTGGGAATTGCACCCAGCAACCAGAATATCTGTTCCAGGCAAGTGAACAGAAACCTTTGAAGGATTTGAATAAGTAAACTCAGGTTTAATATGACACAGTGACAAGAGTCAAGACCGTTTCTATAGACCAGAAGAATACAGCAGAACCAGATAAACTGCTGACAAAAGCAGCTAGGATAATCTTACAGACTAGGAGTCTTCAGTCTGGACAAGAGACGACTGAAGAAGGAGATGATAGAAGCTTATAAAACCGTGAGTGACCAGAGAATGACTGTTTGCTGTCCCTTCCCAAAGAAGAAGTGGGGTGCATTGAATGAAACCAGCTGGAGGCAGGCTCAGAGCAAATAGGAGGATAGCGTTCTTGACCTACCGCGTGTTTCAGTTATGGAAGTCCTCATTGCAGGATGTTGCTGTTGCTAAAAATTTACAAGGGTTTAAAAAGCAGCTGTTCAGACTCATGCCTGAAAATCCTATTCAAACTGTTAAATATAAAAACACCAACTTCGATTCAGGAGGTCCCTGAACCACAAGTTGTTGCAGGTTAACAGTGTTGTAGGAAGACATTGTAGTTGACCTGGTTTTATATTTTTCCTTACACATTTCTTATTGGTCAGTGCTAGTGATGAGATACTGGCCTCAGAAGGGTCTTTGGTGTGATCTGGTGCAGTTGTTCTTATGTGTAGAAATGAACCTCTTCCCAAATTCATAAAGCAAACCTCCCTGTGTTCCAGAGAGCCACTCCTTTTTATCCCTTAGAAACAAACACTTTTAGAAAGTCTTGAAGTTCTGGGTTTCCCCATTGCCCGAGGACAGGGCACCATTAAGTAGGCCAGTGGCCCTACTTCCGCAGCCCAGGACACTGCAGAGACCACTCCAAAGGGAGGAGTAAAGGCTCCTTTCTGAAGGGAAAGAAATGCTGTTGCAAAACATTTGCCTACTGCCAGGAAGAAGCTATATAATTACTTGGGTATTAACGTCTTCTACATAGTATACAAGCCCAGTCCTGTCTAGCTTTCACTCCTTGCCCTGTGGCCTTTCCTCTGCTTCTGTCTTGGCTTTTTGCTCAAGTCACTGTCCTAACTGCCCTTTGTGCTGACCATTGGATATGCAGATCATCTCTCCTCTGCCATAAAGAAATCTTGCAGCAATGCACTCGTGAGTAGCAAACACTTGCGCCTGTGAAAAATGTCTGAAAGTGATTGTATGTTGCTGTGGTCATGCTGCTGAGCTGGGAAATCTCTTCCAGACTTATGGTCCTATGTCTTTGAGGGCTCTGGCACTGTTTTGCCTCCTGTTCCTCTTCACCTATACATACAGTATTTTCTCTGCCCTCTGAAAGCCTGACATTTTTAACATGAAAAATGAAACCGTTAGTACAAACAGGCTTTCTCTTCCCATCATACTTAAAACTGCTGCTGTGCCTCCTACAAGAAGTGCATTTTTTCTCCTCAAAATCCAAAGGTCCCTGTTAAATCCAAACTGTTGTTTCATATGTATTTAATAGGGCCATCAGAACATGCATACATCCTTCTCACCATACACCTTGTCCTGTTTTATTCCCTGTACTGCATTATGTAGTTGTCTCTTGCTTTGTGACTGCACTGAAAGCTGTCTGGGGCAAAGAAGTTGTCATGTCAATAGCACTGGAAGGTGGCCATCACACCTCCAGGTGTTGTGAACTTATTAAATAAAAACCACAATGTAAAATATGCTGGCCTGTTGCTCTAGTTTCAAGCATAGTATTTGTTTTTATGCATAGGATTATGCAGTTTAATCTCCACGTAGATGTTCCTTAACCTTCTACCTCCAGCTTGCTGTTCTGACTGTAACTTTATAGAGACGAGGAGTGGCAGAGATGGTATTTTCAAGGCCTCTAAGCTCCTAAATTTTAAAAAGTGGCTTAAAACATAAGAAAAAGAGTTCCAGGCATGGATGCCGTGAGAAAGGAAATGCAAATATCTGCATATATTCTATTTCTTACATTGGACTGCCTACACTTTTCTTTCCTGACAGTCAAGGCTGTCATCATTTGATTTCTGCTCTGAACCATGCACTTGCTGAAAACCTACTAACATATCAGTTTGTCTTCATTAGCCTTGAGTGCCTTTTGCTGTTTAAACCAAAGTAAGTGATACTGCACTTTTCTGGTCATTTAGGTGACAAAACTATAGCTTGTTCTCTTTGTCAATAGAGTCTGAAAATGGAACAGGACTGGCAGCTCTCTCATTATTCTTTATATAGCTTCACTCTTCTTTGAGAGTCCAAATCAACCTGAAAGACTGCTGACTGGTGATGCAAGTTAGACCGTTCCATAGGGTAAGCAGGACACAGCTTTCAAGGGAGGCTGGTATTCAAGTTCTTGTTTTGGGGTGGGGGGATTTGAATTTTCTGAGTGTGTGCATTAATAGCTGCACTTAACACTTAATGTTCATGCTCGGGCAAACATAATGGCAGCCTCAGCCCCATGCTACATATAATTGTTAGATGTTTTCTAAGCATTGATGCTATTTTCATTTATTTTTTTAAGATTAGAACTTTTTTTACCCTAATCCTTTATTTTATTCCTAAACTCCATAAAATATTTGGCAATGCAAAAGCCGGTAGGTACCACT